TAGACATATTCAGTATGTACGTTGCAGAAAGAAAGAAAAGATATAACGAACCACTTAAAATACGAACTGATATTCGTCAGGGCGGGTCTGTTCGTATGTGTGAGACAATTGATCGTTATTTGGGCTGCAACTGGCTCGAAACTGTCGCCCTTTAAGGACGTGTCAACATCTTTTTTTTTTTTAGGAGCAACAAAAAGCTAAAAAATGATCATGTAACATCACTCAATTTTTGGAAACACAAGTCTCACTTGGTCCGGTAGGCTTTCTACTGCGCTACTTTGCGTTTTCACTTGCTTTTGAGGAGAAAGGATTGGTACAGTTGGTTATTGCGCGGCCTTCTATGGGAGCAGTCTAAAGGCCGATCCCCAAATGTGACCTCCAATCCCTTTTTCGACTTCTCTCCTTTCCGTGTAGCTTTAAGTAGCTGTAAATACCCATAACAAGGAGCATTAATGGGGGTTTAGAAGGGTGGGTGTAGGGCTCAGGTTTGCTACGAGGATAGTCATGTCTCTTTCGAGGTACGGACTTAGACTGCAAAACAGTCCGTATTTCTGCGTATTCAAGTACGCGCGAGCAGTCAAACAAAAGGTCTGGAATGAGGCTGAAAACAGAGAGCGAGACTGGGGAGAGACGCTAAAAATACGGTTTTTTTTCTCTCGCCTCACACGCCCATAGGGCGTGTGAGGCTCGCGCGCTTCGCGCGCGTAACACTCTTACGCCACGCTTTACCGATTTCTTTACTGATTTTGAGGAAAAAACCGACTGTTTTGCAGTCTAGTACGGACTTAGCTTTTTACCTTTCACTTGAAAAAAAAAACTACTCATCAAGTCATGCTAAATGTAATAGTATTCTTAATGCTGATCAGGAGCCCATAACCTGTGCCGACTGAGTTGTCTAAGAAACTGTACATCCAATTTTACATAAAGAGAAGGTCGAGCGAATTTCTCTGGAACGTTTTCCTTAAACCTTTAAAAGGAATTGTTCCATTACTACGTGTTTGATTTTTCCGGTTATTTATTAGCCTGCGTAGTTTTGGTCTGGCGCGCAGTACTAGCTTATAAGGCGGGCGAGGGCTGTGAAACCGCGAGGAGATTGGGGCGGGAGCAATGCTCGTTCGCGCGAGCTTCGCACGACAAGACCGCCATTCTAAGCAGGCTAGTACATTTTATAAAGTAGTTCTGGATTTTTACTTTATGTAAAATGTGCACGGAAGGTTTTTACTTTCTGCATCCAGATTTCTAGTATTCTTGAAAGTCAATTTAATATAGAGATTTCGCTTTTAGTAGAGAAGATGCACGTGACCCAGGAAACAACGCGGAAATTTGGCAATTTTTCTTAATAAAATCAATTTTTATTCTAAAAGTATCTTTGACACCTCGAATCCTACTAGGGAATAAGACTGTTTTGAGTTTATTTTGCCATCTGTCAATCAACCCGTCATAATCAGTGCAAGTCGCGATTGTGTTGGTCCGAAGAAGTACTTCTATGCTATGAGTCGATATGAGTCGAAAGTCAAGCTCATCATTGTCGTGATACAGCTATTTGCAGTATTTCGGCCAAGACTCAAAAACAAAAATTTGGGGAAAATAAGCATTGCAATTGGCCAGAGGAAATCACTCAGGGGGCGAATGTACAGAAGAACAGATGGAGAGACAATGTATTGTAGCATTACAAAAATTTCTATTCAATCGGTAATTGGTATTACAAATGATTCTGAAGCCTTATGCACATCATTGCTCAGAAACTACCCGTGGTATACCCATCGCACTTGGATTGAGCCACAGTCTGCAGTCACTGGCATGTCTGTCGTAAATACGCATAGAATGAAGTAAAACCTTTTTGTGGTGATCCACATTAGCGCGGAAGTACATGTTATCCCGGGGGGTACTCCTGGAATTCTTGTTGGGGCTGTGCCGCCCGGACCCTTTTTCAGACCAAAAAAGGTCATTTCAGTTTGACATTGTTTTTCACACCTGGCCTCTTAAATCCATACCTGTTTTCAGACCTGGCCTCTAAGAAAGTAGGTCGTCATTACTTAAATTAGAACAGCAACGAGATGGAAAAGAATGAATGAGGGAACAGACATGGAAAAAGAAATATGCATTGCTGAAGTAATAGGGCCAAACGCTGGGTATCAACGATTTAGATCATGCGCTCCATGGTCAGATCGAAACAACAAACATCCAGCCAGTGACTTGCTTGTTCTTTTGTAGGCACAAAAATATGCGCTAACAAGGAACCCTAAGACCCAGGTTCTTAATCTTAATGCTTACCGCTACCCGATGGAAAAGCTACAAAAGCTACATGAGCTCTTCGGATGCATAATTATGTGGTAAGTAAAGAGGGCAAGAGTTCACGCTTCGTGGCCACGGCCCAGGTACGTTAGCCCTTGCCCTTGTGAATCATTTTAAAGAGCTGTACACTTTTTTATTGGTTTTATTGAGTTTCATTACCTATACATAATCACGTAGAAACGTTTAAAAAAAATCCTCGACGTCTTAATCTTGTCCAATGATTTTTCGAAAAACGGTGGGGCCTGGAACGAACTGTTGTAGGGTCACCTCATTCTCTCTTGGTAGCGTTTTAGTGGATTCTCAATTTTCTTCTCTAAGATGTGTTGAGCCAATTTTTTCAATGCATCTACGTTAAACTGAAGAAGTAAATTTATCGATGTATGGCGATTCAAAGGCAATTACCTCTAACAAATAGCGGAAAAAATTTGAATGTCACGAAACAACCGTGTTACGCTCGCGCCCAGCAACGAGTGCCATTACTTTTATCACAAACAGGACAAAAAATTTCCTTGGAGGACAAATGATAAGAAAACAATATTTTAGTAAAAGCGATTACTCAATGCACAATAGTATCCCGGCTCTACAAACCAAGAAGGACATTACAAACAGCGAAGTTAAAAGAGGAGAATAACAAGGCAAGTGTTCGTTGATTATCTTGTCTTCGAAATTTCTGGAAATTCAAACGGTGCCCATATTCGAAAACGTGAAAAGCACAAAAATTTTATTCCTTTTTACGTTTTACTATCATTTCTAGTTTGTATTAATACAGATGGCAACGTTCACACAGGTGCCACACTTTTTTAAACTGCCCTCAAAGTTGCGCTATTTTTGTGTTTTGATGGCAGGCTGATAACACGTGCAAGGAAAAAGATTCTTGCCGTTAAAATGAATAAATAATTCGGAACTGTGATATGGCTAGGACATCTAGAGTGGTGTATCCGTATATTAAAAAGAAAATCGGGCTTCTTGAACGAGTTGTTTGTTTTCTGTAGCGCCGGCAACGTAGGTAAGTTTTGCAGTTTCAAAGGCTATGGCGCGGTGCCAGCCGACCGAAAATTCAAAAATTCGTAAAAAATTATTTCGCATTTCCGGTCAAACAAAATACATTTTTGTAACTAATTAGGTAAAGACTTTAATATCCTAGAATACAGGGAAAATTAATTTTTTGATCCGAAATCACTGGTCGGTTTTACGGAGACACGCCCTTAAATAAGGTTTCAGTTTTCGTTTCTCTCATCCTCAAGTAGGGTCAGTACTTCAGGCCCTCGGAGACAAACATCTATCCGAAATTTATGGGGGTACCCCGCCTGGAACTTCACACACACTAACTTGATCGAAAAAACTAAAAGTGTAAACAACAAAAGCAAAATATGTAACTAGACACAATATCCAATGGAGATGGATTCCTCGAAGTTATAAATTTTAGCGGCAGAAATAAATAAATGAAATGAAAACAAAATAATAAAGCATTTCTTTTTATCCCGTAATAATCCAATGTAAATAAGAACACATGATGTCGACGTGTTTGACTTGATCGTTTTACAAAGGTACAAGAATTGACATACCTACAACACTCGTCACAATAGCAGGGACAGTAGTGGTATTTTCTACCCCCTTAATGTTGGATTTTGCGAGTTGGAATGACAGAAGCAAAAAAACATCAACAACACTGGGAGGGAAGGAGCACATTTTTTTTGTCAGGAAATGGGTACAGCACGGGGTGTCCCAACGTAATGTGACAAGGATTGTAGGTAAACATTAGGTATAACGGCGGGGCTCTCGTGCTCGCGAAACATAAGCAGCCGGGCACTATGGATAATAAAATTTGGTTATCTATGCATTCAAGAAATTTTAATTGTGACACAATCTTCCGTCCTTACGTCCGCCCTTTCATATTAGCGCATGTATGTCACACTCACTTATTATAAGCGTTAATCTAAGGTATCATCGATTTGTGATTAACTTGATATGAGACATCCACTTGTCAAAATAGGGTATCCGCTAACAACTGTCCGTATCGAAGCCTCAGGTTTACAGCTTTCTTCAAAGGCATTACTTAAAAGATCAAATGAGAGCTTCGTTTTTGGCCCTCGCTAAATCTACATGTTACCTTGGTAAGTGCCACTGAGGAAATAAGAATTGGACTTAAATGAAAGAATTAATAACCCTGTAATCAGACATGGCCTACTGATGGTGAAGAACGCCGCGGGTAAAGGCGACGTATTTAATATACTCCATTCGACGGGTATCCCGTCAGGTAATTATAAAGGATTTTACCGCAAAAATTGCTCTGAGTTATTATAATACGGTAGTTTTCACTTTTTCACTTTTTCACTTTTCGGCGGGTATAGTCTGGTCGGGTACACAGGAAACCAAAATGTGACACCTACAGGCATTTATCTCTGATTTTGGCAACATAGGTATTTTTACTAGCTTGAGTACGCTGATTTTGAAAATCATTGTTGCCAAACTCAGTTCTTGTGCTAAGGTGGAGTTTGAGGATTTTCACTATGACGTCATTATCCAAATGAGTGGTATTCTCTCCTTTAACAATTCCAAATTTAAAAGAGACAGAAATTCTTTTAAAACGTTATTAGTGTTTTAAAAATTATATTCTAAGAATTTCTGACTGTTTTTACGCTGCTTATATTAACATACAGCCATCACGTGACACTTGACCACGCCCTCTTATAGAAAAAGCACCTTATCACTTGTATATTTATCACAATGGTGGTCTTTACACTAGAGCCTAAATAAGCTAAGAAATATTTCAAGAGCAGCAAATTTTAATTACTTCAAGCAAAATAAAGCTTCAAACACAACCGATTCTTTTTTACTTCAGGTTAACTTAAGGCTATTTTCCCACGCAACATAATTACGATTGATTGACGTGTTTCGCCTTTCTCAAACCTCAAGGGTGCTTACCATTTGACAGAAAATGTCGGAAATTCCGGATGGATGGTAAATGGTAAGGTCACTTTTCGGAAATTCCAACCAAAAATTGAGGAGTACGTTTTGAGGTAGTCCGTTCATTCCAGTTGGTACAAACCAAACGCAATGTTGCTTACCATCTACCAATTTCTCGGTTCCAGACGCATTCGCCGGCCTTTTTGGATTCCAACCTTAACGGATGTGGCAACTCTACGGTAAACTGGTAAATCGCTTACCATTATGCTTTCGACACCCCAGCCAGATTTTTCTGTTAAATGGTAAGCACCCCAAGAAACCGCAAGTAACCGCAAGTCAGCTAAGTCGGTTTTAAGGATGCTTTTCAAGTCGCCTGAAACTCTCTTGAATCGTTTCAACTTTCCGACTTTAATGAGATGCAAAGTAAAGTTACTTGCGATTTTACTCAGGCCTTCACACACGAATTTTTGGTTAAGTAAAACTTAGCAGCTCTTAAGTCTTACTTAACAGCCTAGTGTAAATACAGCCATTATTTTTTTGTAATGTACTTAGGAATACATATACAACTTTTTGTTTTTCTTGTGCAATGTTGAATCCTAGTTATTTCACAATTCACTTTGGGCCTCAAGCTTGCTAAATGCTTTGGTTTATTTGGGCCTCTTTGTCAACCAGGTACCTGTGTTGAGTGGAAAGTGTCCTTTCCACCTAGTAACGAATGGTTGATGTCAATGTTATTAGCAGTGAACTGCATCAGGAAGTTGTCCGGTTTTAGAACCAGTTAGGACAACGGTGCCATTTATCTCTTTCAAGAACAGACTGTATCTTGCCCCAGTGAGGGGTCCAACTTAAGGATTTGGCTGTTGTAGCTGTATATGGCCCGCCTGGTGCAGTAGATCTACTAACAGCGTTGACTAACTAGGAGCGTACGTCATAACTTGTATGATGTAATCCCCCGTATCAGTGCTTAAGAATTCGAACAAGTCTCCAACTTTTCTCATGATGCTTTGCTGTTGATAGATGACTGCGGTATTTGTGTATTGGTTTTTTGGGCTAGCTTATTATATCCCGGCCATACGTCAGATAGCTGAAGTATTTGGTTATGCTCTGCAGTATAGTGACCGAGCTCAAAGCAGATAAAATCATAACGATAACTGCCTGTTGAGATTCCTCTTTCTTTTTGCCAGTCTGGTACTAAGCGCTCAGACACTTTTTGTACCTTCCAGGCCCTTTTGCAGCAATGAGATCGCTGACCTCAGCTAGGCGGAATTTTATTGCATTATCCAGATTAGCCTGAATTTCAGACGATTACTTCGAGTCGTTTTTTACTCTTTTAACAACGCCTGAATCAACCGGCTGCTAATCCCGTCCAGTGTGACCTCACTACCCGAAAACCGGGTAGTGTTTGATTGGTTGATTCTTGTCCAATCATTCGCAGAATTATGTATAGTTATGAGAAATTTAAGAGGGATTGCCGGGTCGGATGCCTGGCATGTTTGCGTGGAGTTAAAAAAATTCGAAAGCGAAAATTTCTGGGATTTAAGTCTTGTTATTTCCACCGTCAAGTGTAATGCTTCTGTTTAACCTTTTTTTCCTTGTTTTTTTTTTCTTCTTCGTTAAGCACCAAATAGTTTCCAAAAACCAAAAAGTTTCCCGTATTTCTCAAAAAAGTTGCTCAAAAAACAAACAAAAGTTCCTCAAAAGTTGCTCGAAAAAAACCAAAAAACTTTTTTTGGTCTGATGCTAAAATATGCAAATTGTACAACAAAAGTAAGATTTCTAAGCATTTTGTGCAATTTTGCGGCGTAACCAGCGTTGCTAAATAACTTTGTCCTAAATAAAAACCAGAAAGTCTAATGAGCCAATAAAAATGTTGAATGTCCTTCTTCATCCGAGACACAAGTCAGTCGAGTGTGAATCTTCGTCCACCATTATGAATTTTCTCTAAAAACAGCTGACCTAGCAGCCCGGCTACTTTTATCTTGCGCCCATGATCTGCCCCGGGAGGGAGGATTTGGCTTCTTTTTTTATAGGAAATTCAGAAATTGTTTATTTAAACATTGTGAAATATGGAAGAAAGGCCAATTTGAAGCTCTAAAAGCTGCTCCGATATCTCAGAATTAGAAGATAACTCGAGAAGTTGCCAAAAAGTTGCCAAGCAACTTTTGGAAAGCCCTAGGAGTGGTTACATCTCTTACGCTTTCTCTTTTTCTTGTCTCTTTATTTTGTTCATCACCAACACTTTTCTGTGTCTTTGCGCTTCTAGCAGCTTTGCACATCTCTCGTCGGTCCTTGTGGAAAGCCACTCCTCAGCGTCTGTACTGAGAGAATCGCTGCAGCTCCTTTTCTTTTTAGATGTCTCCATGCACCGACATTTTATTGAGCAGTCCAGCTATCCTAAACTATGTGAACTTACTTGAATTTCGAAGTTGCCTTGGTCTTGTAACTATTAGTGAGAGGAAAAGTGCAGGAATGGGAAGGTTTTGCAATAATTGTCAAGAGCACGTGCAATCAAAGAATGGCTTATTTTAATATACTTTTTATTTATCTCAATAGAATTATTACGAAAAATATCACATCTTTAGCCATAATTGTGTGAATTTTATATCAAAGGGTGTGGTCAATTGTCATGCAACGCCTCGAAATTCGCAGAAACAGCGTTTTATAAATTCTCTAAATGGTCTTTAAAATATACGTAGAACTCTTTGAAACCATTTCTGGATCTATTAAATTCAAAATCGGGAAAGGAAAGAAAACTCCTTATTTGCACAGTGATATCATAAGGAAATGCCCCAAAACTCCACCTTAACACAAGCTTGAGACTGGCAACAGCAATTTTCGAAATCAGCGTACTCGAGTTAGTAAGAATAGCTATGTTGCCAAAAATCAGACAAAAATGCCCGTGGGGGTCACAGTTTGGTAGCCTGTGTAGAAGACTAACAGCCTTTGAGTCAATACTATGGATCATGTATTTTCTCGCCAGAAACTGGGAGGATAGATATTCAACATATCCGCAATTTTACAGAATCGTTAATACGTAAGAGCCAGCCTCCCTAGTTCTTACAGCAGTAAAAAATAGTTAAGAAGTCTGGTCTGGCTCAACTTTACGTTTTATTGCTATTTGGTTTTAAACTGAGCAAGCAATATTCTTACCCCAAGGAATGTCCGTGTAACCTCCAAAAACGTATTTACCCTTTTTTATTATGGTAACTGTGTCTCTTTTTCCATCGCAGCGTCTGTGAAACTGTTTTTCGACATTCCAGCCGTGCAATGTAGCCCGCCAACACAGTAGCCAGTGGGAATTGTACCCAACCGCAGGCTCCAGAAATTTTCCCAGATGGAACAAATAAGAATAATTTGTTTTCAATATATTTGAGTCCATGAACGCTAAAAATAACAGAAAATAAAACAGACATCAACGATTGCAAAAAGAAATTTTTTTTTGTGTTGTACTAGTTCCTTTGTTGCTGCTAAAAACCCCTCATCGGTCCCAATGTCAGCTTTTTCCCTTAACCCAGAGACGCAAAGCTTCATTGAGGGAGGGGGGTACATGTGGAGCTTTTTTTACTTACGCAATTCTCGTGAATCGATTGTACTGGCAACCTTTAAGTTTCAAGTCATATCATGTCGGTGTTCAGACACCGAAATGAGAGCAGCATTAAAAGCTACTGAAATGATACTAATTTAAAGACAAAATCAAACATACAAACAGCCATGGCCCAGAATACCGGGAAGTTTAATTTTAAAGGCTGCACCGTTAATTTGCACTCTTGAACTCGACGGCCGCTAACAACGCTTTTCAACTTGGAATGTAATAATGTTGCGCAACAAGTTAAGCAAAAATGTTTCCTGTATTACTATACCGTAAAGATCATGCCAAAACTTCATTTGCTTTTATCAAATTGAAACCTTAGGAATTCCTTAAAACTTTCTCGTTTCTGTTTTCTTTAAAATAGCTATCAACAAAAAAGGGGAAACAACCGCGATATCAATGATGACGATAATGACAATGCTTTCACCATTTGATAGATCCGATCACACAGCGGCGTTTTTTATCAGAGGTTATCTACAATTTCAATGTACATTATATTTACCTGTGCAATTAACGCCGAAATATCCTGGCGGGCAGAAACATCGGAAGGATCCTTTGGTGTTATAGCATAGGGAGCTGCTGTTACAGTTGTGTTTTCCTGTTACACACTCGTTTACGTCTGCAAAACAGAGGTGCATGCTACTATTCAGTTTGCGTTTAATTCTGAATTGTCATTTTCGCCCACAAAAGGAATACTGAGAAACTATGAAGCAGTTTTCATATCAAAAATACTATTCACTGTGCAGATTCAATTATGTCTGCTTGTCATTCAGTTATGTCCGTTTGTTATTCAATTGTCTTCTTGTCATTCAATTATGTTCGTTTGTCTTTCAATTATGTCTTCTTGTCGTTCAATTACTATATCTCATCATGCCTGCTTGACATTCAATTATTTATGTTCGATATTATCTTCCAATTACTGCTTCTTCGCGCCTTTCTTGCACGAGGTTTGCAAATGGCGTCGAAGGAAATTCAAGATGTGAGCGATTCCGAGGGAAAAGAAGAAAATTATCAACGAGCATTAACATTGTTGAATGAAGCGGTGGATATCCTGAGAGTCAGTAATCAGCGGTGCTTTTGCGGGCTCAGGTACAAGCGGTCAATCGATATTGAAACGATATTGAATAATTGAATCGCAACAAGCCATAATTCAATGAAGTTCATAAGGTAAGAAATTGCATGACAAACAGTTATAATTAAATGACTAAATGTCCAGGGATAATTTAAAGACAAAAAGTAGTAATTAAAAGATAATATCGAACCTAATTGAACGTCAAGCAGGCATGATGAGACATAGTAATTGAATGACAAGGAGACATAATTAAAAGACAAACGGACATAATTGAATGACAAGCAGACATAACTGAATCTGCACAGTGAATGAGTATTTTTTGATATGGAAACTGCTTCATAAGAAACAGTTTTCTCTAATCACTCCGATGATTACAGACGGAATTGATTCCAGTGCGAGTCCTATTACAACTATTAACTGGTGTTCTAAATATGATTATAACAGTGTAATGGGACAGTGCCCGTCATATAAACCTGAGTAATGGTACAATAATCACGCCATGCCGCGCGCGCTCTTCGGTGTTGTTGTTACCGTTGTTTTGTTTTTGTTTTTTTTGGGGGGGGGGAGTAGTTGTTTTATTTTTTCTTCTATCCGCAAAAAACTCTCGCTAGATATTGTGTTTTAAAGCTAATAAAATCTGAAATTATCACAAAATTTTGTTTAGTTATGATTAATTGTTACTCATGATTAAATAAATCGGACTCCAGCTATGTGGTCTCCTGACTCCACTCAGTCCTATTTCCCTTATTAACTATACAAGTATTAAAATTATCATTCAAATTACTATTACTATTATTATTATTATTATTATTATTATTATCATCATCGTCATCATTATTATTATTATTTCTTGCCTTGTGCACTGGCTGGTCTCATTGCGTTGTTGTCTTGCTCAGGGAGCGAGTCATAACCCATGAAAAAAGGACCCTTAGATTTCGACTCCTTACTCTGAACTGACTAATACTTTTCTTAAAATCCTTTCTGTTCCTAGAAGCGTAGTTTTTTGGGGGCAATGAAATACAAATTCTTGTGTCCAACTTTCCAGCCACTTCTCCAAGTTCTTCATCACACTTGCGAATGATTCTACAACAATCTGTATCACCTGCACAGTTCTCGTGTTCCACGTCCTTGTAATGTCCCTTTAAGCTCCAGATATTTTTTAACCTTTTCAACAATTCCCTTATCCCCTTCTAAAGCAATATCGACAATGGCGCACTCTCTCTCTCCTGTTTGTTTACAACCACATGATCATGTCTATTGTAGCATCGATGACATAATCACATTGAATGTTCATTATATCCCACAGTAGTGTAACTTCATCGTTTTTACTCACACTGTCAGGCACGTGTTCGTACGTCCTTCTTTCTCAGATGATATTTCTCACATAACTTCCAACGAACTACTTTTGCAATATTGTCATGTCTCTGTTTATATTCCCTTTGGGCTAACTTTTCAGTTGCACTCACAGACAATATGGTTTACACTCTCGCCTTCTCGCCACATTACCTACCTAAGGGGGATTCGCGCGGTATTGTCGACATGGTATCAGTTACATGGTTGGTCCTGAGAGCCTGTTCCTTGCCTGCACAAATAAGTGCTTCTGTTTTGATCTTCGAGTCTGCTTTTCGTAACCACCTCCAAGTTTTCTTACATGTGTTGTTCCGGGTATTTCTCATAAAATTCACCATGCAGCTTTTTTTCCTTCCAACTGTCGAGTTTCAGCTCATTGTTCCAAGATGTCTTCAATAAACTTAACTGACAATTTACTCACTTTCAATATACCTTACCCCTTACCCCTTGCAGTAAAACGTCCCAAGAATTCTTCACACACCACCCAAAACTGTTTTACTCACCTCTCACACACCCCTCACAGCTTATTAGTCGGCCCGACCTTCATCCTCCCTTGATACATACAACCTATCAACATCGCTTTTTGAATGGAAAGCACCATTCATTGTCAACACCTTTCTAGTCATTTTATCCAATGTTTTCAGTTCTTCCTTTGCCCATCTTACCTGCTCCATACTTGATCAGCACTGACAGCTGCGCAGGTGTTAATCGCTATAACCTTATTCTTTCAATTCAATCTTGATTTCAACATTAGTTTCAGCCTTCTTTTTTACTCTCTTGAATTTTTTTCATCTCCTTTTCGATTATTAAATCCGCCTCAATAATCCCCAAATATTTTTACCTTCTTTCATCGATTTCTCCCATTATCCGCTCATACAAAAGAGTTATACCCTCAAACCTTACCTTCTTTTCCCTTGTCATCACCAGCACAGTAGTGATAGAGGGACGAAATTAAAACCCCTTTGGTGTCGAGTAAGGTTGAGGTAAATCATTGATATGCGTAAGGGTCGAGTCCATGACGTCACCCATTGTTTTAACGTAGGAAAAAAGCGGTTTCCTCCATACTGATAAGTGTCTTCCTCCATATCTAATGAGCGTCTCTCTTATACAATAAGAACAATAGACTTGCCTAGAATTGCCAGGTCTCTTTTAACCCTGATGATTGGCCCGTGTAGAAACTATTATGCGTTCAAAATGAAAGCGCTCAGTTGTTGAACACGCTATCGTTACAAAGTGTAACTGAAAAATCTTTAATCATTTCTTTAAATCATCATGACTAAAAATAGGATATAAACAAAACTCCAGGACAAAATTCAGGTATTCTATCTCGAGGAGACGACTAACTCTCAGCGCTTGGTGAGCTTATGGTCTTGTCATTTTAACGCGCTGTTAGTCAGTTAATTATGCGAGCTAACAAGCCGACATTTGCATACAAATTGGCTCAGCTATGCAGTAAAAACCCAAAGAGAGAACCTTGACATACTATTATAAAAAACACACACACAAAAACAATTAATAACTTAACAATATAAATGTGGTGGTGGTGGTGGAGGAAAACAATAGAAATGTAGTTTCATGGTTTGCCAAACCTATATAAACGAGCAACATTCTACCTTTTTCTCAGTCTACATTCTGCTCCTGAGGAGTTGACATGAGTTGGTTGTGTTCCGTTTGCGAAAAATCGTTTAGTAGAAAGGATAGCATTCAAAGGCACGCGATGTCTAAACACCGCAATGCTAATCTCACCCCATTTCAAACAGTTCCGATGTCTTCAAAGAAATGTCAGCGGTTTCGCTTTGAACATCCTTTCACCTCCATGACTGCTGGAATGACCAAGTCCGGAAAAGCAGCCTGGGTTCTATCTCTATTACATCAAGCTTCAAAGGCAATTTACCTTCCCCCAGAGAGGATCGTCTGGTGTTATTTACAATGGCAGCCTGCGTATACAGAAATGCTATTCGCCATGCCACACATTGAATTTATCAAGGGAATTCCTACGGCTTTGGAGCAGGATTCCTATTTTGATGTGAACAAACAGAATCTGATCGTGTTTGATGATCAGATGATTGACGCCAGTAAAGACAAGAGAATTGTGAACCTATTTACTCGTGGTTCTCATCATCGAAATCTCATCAAGATCAGGGGAAGGGAAGTCGCAGCATAAGCCTAAACGGTCATTATTTGCTGCTATTCAAGAATCCACGAGACAAATTGCAAAACTTGACTCTGGCCAAGCAAATGTATCCCGGGCAAACTTATTTCTTTTTAAATCAGTACGAAGAGGCCGTAAAAAGACTTTTTGGTTATCTGCTGATTGATCTAAAAACTACTACCCAAGATAATTGCCCACTGCGAAAAAACCTCCTGCCCTGTGAGGAGGGCTTTACCCAAGCAGGGTATCAAGAAAATATTCCTTAAGAGCGTCCCAAATAACTCGCCCGTCCCGCTTCTTCCAGCTATGCAAGAAATACAGGGCAACATGGATTATGTGCTTTCTGGAAACGATCTTCGGGACGATGGAAAAGATAAGCGATAATTTTAGTTGCAAAGCAGATATCTGGCTTTATCTCTCTTGACTGGTTTTATTGCTAGCGTTTATTAGTAGCGTGTTTCATTTGATCCTTGTTAAGTTAATAATTGTTTTTTTTGTGTGTTTTTATAATAACAAGTCAAGGTTATCCCTTGGGGTTTTTTATTGTGGAGCCTTTTGTATGCAAATGTAGGCTTTTTAACTCGCATATCATGAATTAACTGACTAACGGCGCGTGAAAATAACAAGACCATATTAAGCTCACCAAGCGCCGAGAGTTAGTCGTCTCCTCGACATAGAATACCTGAACTTTGTGCTTGAGATTTGTTTATATCCTCTGTTTAGTCATGATGATTTAAAGAAATGATTAAAGATTTTTCAGTTACACTCTGAGACAAGCGGTTTTGAAATAGCCAGTCAAAATTGAAACAAAGAGTTCTCAGCAGGGGCACCCAACGACCGTTTTCTGGGAAATGATCTGAAATGGCTCGTTATGCATCCTGGAGTGCTTTAAAAGCAATATAAATGAATAATTTGCATCGCTAAAAAAATTTGATCTGTTCGGTCGTCCTAGGAGTGGTTTGAACCTCTCGAATTCTTTAGGGCTGTTTTTCGCCTTTCCCGAAAATAACAGCCTACAGTGAAAGCTTTCCGAAAACGTAAGATTACCTGACGAGCTTTTCCCTTGACCGAAATTTTTAGGGGTCCTTTCAAGTTTTCTCCGAAAACTTTATGTAGTTTGAGAATGTCTCCGAATTTTCTAGGGCGACGTAGAATGTATAGAAAATTCTAGGAGTAAAAAAAAAGGCATTTAAGTGATTTTAAAGCCAGTTGAAACGTCTAATGAATGTATAGAAAATTCTAGGTGTAAAATAAAAGGCATTTATGTGATTTTAAAGCCAGTTGAAACGTCTTGTACCCTGCCGAACTGCCGGCTTAGTTTACGAAAGCTAGGAAATTTCTAGGTGCCGAAATCAGAATGTAGAGATTACTACGAAAGCTACGAAATTTCTAGGTGATCTAGAGATTACTACAAAATCCGAAATTCTTAGGTGAACAAATCACACAAATCCCGAAACTCTGAGCCCAACAAACAATCGCCACGAAACATTTTCGAAATTTTTAGCTGTTCTTGGGCTCCCGAAAATTTTAGCCATTCTAGAGGGCTCCGAACAGATATTTCCCCGAAAACGGTCGTTGGGTGCCCCTGTCTCAGCTCCAGTTTCTGTGTGTGTGTGTTTTGTTCATATATAAGATTTTTAACGCTTAAATTATTAGGGATGCTTCTCTTGGTCCTATTCTTTTAATAGGCCGTTCCGGCAAACCGGCCTCAAGTTACTTACCGGGTATAATTCTAGACAAGCCTGTTCCTACTGTATAAGAGGAACGCTCATTAGATATGGAGGAAGACACTTATTAGTATGGAGGAGCCCACTTTTTCCCTTGGTTAAAACAATGGGTAACGTTATGTTACACACTACACTTTTTCAATAAAATTTCCATTCTAATGTCCTCACTAAGCAACTGTATAGTTTGCACCAACGAATCTATTTGGTCTTCACTTTTCCCAAACAATTTTAATTCGTCCATAAGAAAGATGTTTAACCTTAAATCCTTCTCAAGATCATAACCTGTTGTTGATTTTCTCAACACCAATGTTAATGGAATCATGCACAAAACAAGTAGCCCTGGAAAATGCCTCTTCTTCTAATTAATGACTTCCAACCTCTCGCCTGATGATGATAACTCTACTTCTATGTCTGCATACCATTAATAAAAAAAACCTTTTCACAGTTCTCAGCTACTTCAAACACCTCCAAACACTTGACAATCCAGCTATGTGGTATCATGTCATATGCTTTCCGGTAATCACTCAAAGCCAACGCCAAAATGTTGATTGCTTCTCTCAAAGGGCCGTTTCTTGAAACTCCCAATAATTACCAAGTATGGTCTGAATAAATTCGGCGCCTAAAACTACTATTTACTTTTAGTCCTTTTAGAAGTGATATAGTATGTAAAAAGTATAAAAGCCTGGTTAGTACACGTTAAGGAGGTTTGCTGGCAGGATATTTCAAAGTAAACTAATAGCGAACGCAAAAAATGCGGCCGGATTTTTCATTTTGGCCCTTCCTTTAGACAGAGGAAATAGTTCTCCGTAGCAACTACTACGCTTCAAAAGCGATCCACCTAAAGCAAGCGAAGCCTAGCTAGTGGTGAAGTGCGGTCAAGTGGATCCCTGACATGGCTCTCGCTCCTGGCTCAGACCCTTTGTTTGCCAACTTATAGATCGAGGTTCCGCTCTTCTGTCTGACCAAGAGATTGCCAGCCAAATCAACTTAGGATTCCTGCAACCTATGGAGTTCTTCCAAAGGCTTGAACTCCTCCCGTCACACAGTGAGGATTTGTCACCGCTGACCCTATCCGAACCCGCCGTTTTATCCGCTTTAAAACGAAGGCGGCAGGACTAAATGGGGTAGTATGGTGAAGGCGTACGCAGGCATCCTTGCTTGCCCAGTTACAACTGTGCAAAACAGCAGTTTCGAGGAGCAGCGACGCCCGTCATCCTGGAAGATGGTGCCTGTCACCAAGCTAAAACCTGTTACTGACATCAACAAAAATCTTCGTCCGATCTCCCTAACCTCCGTAATATCTAAACTTGCACAGAACTTTGTCGTCGCTCTCCATTTCGGCCCTGCGGTTCTGGAGGTAATTGATGCAAATCAGTATGGCTGCATCCCAGCGTCCTCTACCCTACACGCCCTTACGTACATGCTACATGTACCTGGTTGCAAGCCACCGACGGGTCTGGGGCTGCTGTGAGAGTCGTCCCGTTTGATTAAAGGAAGGCCTTCGATCTCAGCGACCACACCCTACTTGTGGGCAACGTTTTCGGCCTATCTTTTCCTAGCGCTGTTACCCTCTGGATGGCCGACTTCTTAACGCATAGACAACAACAAGTTGCCCAGAGACCGTTTTTATGAATGGGGCCCTGTGCCCGATGGTGTGCCTCAAGGAACCAAACTAGGCCCATAGTTATTCCTCAGGGGTTTTCAGTGTGGACACATAGAAGCACATTTTGTACGTTGATGATACTTACCAGAGAGATTAAGCTTCGCGTTTACCGCAAAAGGCGAACGTAAGCAAGTTTCCCCTTCACTAGTCGTTTTCTGTTCATTATAACTACACGAAAATCAGTAGATTCAGCCCAATTTTATCCATAAGAATTGTTTTAAGCTGCTTTTATCTGCTCATTTTAAAAATTTCTCAACTTGAAACTCAAGTTTGCCGTTTGCTAGAAACGCGATGCTTAATCTCTCTACTATTGATGAGTTAGTCCCGCGAGGTGCACAGGGTGACATTCAAAGCGCAGTTAGTGCCGTCGAGGACTGGTCACGTGAGCAATGCATGCAACTAAATGCTGACAAATGCAAGGAGATGATCATCGACTTTAAAAATAACAAACACGTCTTCAGCCCTGTTGTGGTCGACGAGAAGTAACTAGCTGTTGTGATAGTGCCAAACTTCTATGTATAACACTGTCGCGTCGACTACTGTAACAGCCTGCTCTATGGCCCGCCAGCCTACTAGCTTAATAAGCTACAGAGGGTCCAAAATGCTGCCGCTAGGTTAATTTTCGAGGAATCTAAATACTGCCACGTAAGACCGATGCTGTATAATCTGCACTGGTTGACGGTTAAATTCAAAATTGACTTTAAGATACTACTGTTAACGTAAAAGGCTATCACTGGCCTAGCACCTTTTTATCTCCAGGAACGTATCAATCTTAAAGAAGCATGTAACTACAATTTACTTTCCGATTGTGATAGACTGCTACTAAACCCTGTGAAACCAAGACTTTAACAACGTTAGGAGATCGATCTTTTGCTGCTGCTGCTCCTCAACTATGGAATTCATTGCCCTATGCAATTAAGAGTAGCCCCTCAGTAGCATCTTTTGAAAAGACACTCAAGACATTTTTATTTCAGAAAGGTTTTTTGTAATTTTATGTGCTTTTTAATCTCGTTTTTAGTAGGTTTTATGCAGTTTTTTACCATTTAAGTAGTCTAGGTAATTTTTATAATATAGTGTTGACATAATTGTTTTAACTCTTTTTGGTAGGGTCATGCACTTATATAGTTTATGCAGTCCTAGTAATAGCGGAGCTCTGGCGCGCGAAGCGCGCCTGCGGAGCACCATGGGTAAGTAAATCTACCCATCCCAGAAAATTTGGTAATCACGTGACCGTACACCGCCCGCCCGCCCGGGGGGCGTAGTCTGTGAGTCTGAGGTCTTTTTTTTGGCGCGAAAACGAATGGCCACCCGCGTTTTGTATAGCGTAAGCAACCAAGCAACAGCAATTTAGTTCAGCGAAGTCAATTCAGAACAAAAAGAAATTTTTCGTATCGGTTGATGTAAATTGTTTTTACTTCTATATTTTTTGTAAATTTTTTACTGATTATGTCCTCTAGTTTGGAGTACAGAGACAGGAAGAGACAGAGAAAACGGGAAAGTAGGCGGCAAGCAAGCCAAGCTCAACGAGAGAGAGAGCGACAGAGAGCTATAGAAAGGAGGCGAAACTGCACTGACGAGCAACGGGAAAGGGAGAGAGAAAGAGATAGAGAAAGGAGAAGCAATTTTACTGATGAGCAACGTGAGAGAGAGCAGGAAAGGGATAGAGAAAGGAGGCGCAATTTTACTGACGAGCAACGGGAGAGAGAGCAGGAAAGGAATAGAGAAAGGAGGCGCAATTTTACTGATGAGCAACGTGAGAGGGAGCACGAGAGAAACAGAGAAAGGAGGCAAAATTTCACTGAAGAGCAACTCGAGAATGAACGAGAGAGAGCAAGAGAAAATAGACGCCGAATTAGCGACGAGCGACGAAGAAGAGAGCGAGAAACAGCAAGGGGAAACAGGCGTCGTATAGACGAAGACGAGCGGGAACGAGGAGAAGGTGAGTGACTATCTTCGAGGTTAGTTTACTGTTAATATGTAGCGGATAGAAGGCGTGTGGTTTTTACAAAAACATGTTGAAAACTGTCTGACTAGCTGTTGTTTTGTTCGTCTGACCAATCAGCACACGTCACTTGTTGTCACGCAGTGTCGAGTTTCAGACAGTCGGAGATCTTATATTTTATCTTGAGGGAAGTGTATTCCGTTTGGGCGTCGACAAAACCCGGAACATGGAACATTCCGGAACATTCCGGAACATCCCGGAACATCCCGGAACATGAAAAAATTGAAATATTTTTTTATGAAAAAATCATTAATTAATTAAATAAAAATATTAATAAAAATAATAATAATAAATAATAATAATAAAAAGAACAATAGATAGAAAACAATTTTTGCAAAAATTTATAATAACAAAATAAATAACATAACATAACATAACATAAAAACGAAAAATAAAGAAACAAAGAAAGAAAGAAAGAAAAAGAAACTGGTATCATCTCCGAGTATGAGAAAACAATATTTTGTCGCAATGAATTTTTTGGGCGAGTGAGAGTCCATTCAAATGACAGTAATGATTGAAGGCTTGCTTCTAAATTCAAAATATATTAAAATGGGTCGCAAGGAGGGGGTTTTCAAGCTTTCCTCACACAGCCACCTCTTGTAAATGTTTGCCATGCGGTTTAACGGTTATCAATTTACGGCTTTGCGACCGTAAGAAGAGCTTAGGGGCTCGTCGCTTTGGACTTGGATGATTAAATTAAACATTCACATTCGCCGCAGAATAGCTGCAGTGGCAGTGGTAGTTTCTAACTGTTATCAGTTAGCCTGAATTCTAGTCGTCTCTCCGCAAACTCCTCTTGCGACTCGAGGAGACGTCTGAAATATCATGCTGACTGTAAACAGTATAGAAACTACTACGAATGTGAGTATTGTCCACTAAAAAACCAAAGACAGGAGCCCCTATACTCTTCTTAAGTTTACAGAGCCGCCTAGTCTGTAAGTAATTCATGTCAACCTCAAGTGAAGCAAAGCACCTTAAGTAAGCAAATGTCGGTTATATATAAGGAGACTATATGTTGGCTTGACATGAGTTACTTACCGACTTGGCTAGACATGAAATACTGCACCGACATTTCAGACCATCGCAGAACCGTAAATGGATAACCGCCAAATGATTAACTCATGGTAAACAATTACAAGAGGTGGTTGTGTGAGGAAAGCTTGAAAACCCCCTCCTCGCGACCCATTTTAATATATTTTGAATTTAGAAGCAAGCCTTCACTCATTACTGTCATTTGCATGAA